GGGATTTCGCTATGGTTTTCTTACAGATATTACGGTATTTTTGATACTCACGCTTAAATGGTGCATGACCTGTCAACAAGAATAAGTCCCAGAAATGTTTCCTACGCTTTAACAGCTTCCGGGTTTCCTTATTAATCCATGGAGGGCAATGTGATAGCTTACGTGCTGACCATGGGATAAACGGCGACGTTACGGACTCGAATGTAGCCTTAAACTTATTCCATTCATCTTCGATCAATCCATCCGCGTCGACCGACCAATCAGTCGAGATAGCACGGTTTCTGATTTCCGGAATATTAGCTCGCCAGATATTGGGACGGGGTGGAGCAGATACGAATTGTATACCATGTGTCCTAAACTTAAAGTGAATTACAACGTGATCACTGTTCACTAGTGGAGGAAGGTGCTGGATATCAAAGACATCCTCAGAGTGGTGGGTGAGGGCGAGGTCCAGCAGTGACGGAACATGATGCAAATCAATATGTGTCGGTTTTGTGATACATTGTACAAGTGCACACTGAATAACGGTAGATAAAAGGTCGCTATCGAAACCACTACCTGGAGCTGTAAGCTCTATCCAGTTGATATGCGGTGCGTTGAAGTCCCCAATGATGAGACAACATTCTGCCATACTCCAAGAACAGATGTGTCTTAGGATAAAGTCGTCAGCCAGACAAGACGGACTACGGTATATTCCCCCTATAGTCACTAACCCATTTCTAGATTTAATCTTACAACATGCAACCTCACATGTGCCACTGATATGAGCCTCCGATATGGTTGATTGTATACGAAAGTGATCCCTAACGTATAATATTATACCTCCCCCTTGCGACTTGAAACTCTATCACTTCTGATACAGATATAACCAGCAATGAAAGGAGAACAGTCTATATCAACGGTGAACCAAGTTTCTGTAACAACGATTATATCGGGACATAATTCTTGCACCATCAGACTTAGCTCGGACGTTTTATTTCTAAGACTACGAGCGTTCGTGTAGCACACACTTAAGGTGTTTTGGAAATCAATCGTTCTACCCATACAGGCCTCGGAAGCATTGGCTTCCAAGACCTGACTACCCGAAAACCCTTAATGGTAAGGTTATTTTCGCCATTTAATTTGCGAGTCCTCAACTCCGTAAGAGCATTCTTCCACTTGATTCGATCCTCAAGCGGCCAATCTGGTCGAATACGGATATTTGAGGCACGAGTTTTTTGTGCGCTTTTCAATAATATGTCTCTTTCTTCAAAACTCCCGAGAACCAGCTTCAGGATCCTTCTTGGTTGGGTCTCGCCTCCAACCCATTTACCAAGTCGTATTACTTTTGTAATATGTACCCCTGAAACCTCTTCAGGTAGTACATTCCTTACCACAGACTCCACTAACTGTAGGTCATGTGCGTGTCTTTTAGCAGGGTCGTTGTCTTTCGACTCCTCTAGATTCCAAATAATTAAACTAGGGATGGGTTTAGCTTCTTTTGAAACTGTGTTCACAGCTTTCGACCGTGACGTTAGATCCTGTATTTTAACTACTGGTATCTTACGATTAGTTTTTATTTTAACAGAGTCCTGGGAGTCAAGCGAATGACTCACAACAATGTCAGACGAAGCTTTACTATGGGACTTTGGCGGATTGGTCTGAGAGTCCACCAAGGACTTACCAAGTAAACAGTCATTAGTTTTAGCTATCTTTCCTACTCTTCTGCGTTTTCGCGTCATCCATTTTCCATCAGTCGAAACGTCTACATTAGAACAACTCGGGACAGTAATTGTTTTATCTGGGTCACCGGTTGCTGCTGTAGCAATATGGCCACCAACGTCTAATGACGTGTCACTCACTGATCGTTTCGGGGGAGAACGTTTAACTGCGGGTTGCACAGGTAGATGTCTGGCTTGCGCCGTGATAGCACTTACGACACTAACGCAATCTTCGCCATCAGTACCAATGTTATCAGTACAGCCCTCATCAACCTTCTTATTAGCCAACACCAGGAGACTAATTGCTTCCTGGATAAGCAATGTTTTGCTCGAGCAACAAAAACTACAAAGCCAATGAGAGTTGGGCTTTGAACACCTTTTATATGCAGTGGGGCTTAATCGGGTGCACATCTTATGGAACCACTTATTACACTCATCACATTGCATCCCTTCATCCACGGGAAATAAGCAGTATGGTTGTCCACATTTATGAGTAGACCTAGCCATCTTGAAAATCAACTAGAACGGTGACAAAAACAGGATATGTAGAAGGATTTTCAAACCTTAACTAAATAAATAGAAGTTATGGATAAGTAACGGTTCATGATGTACATTATTCAATTGTTCTAGGATCTTTATGATTCGTTAATCAATATTAACTTATAATGGAAAGTAGTTTTAAATTCTAATCATCTTTTTATGATCAATATGTATGTAATGTGTTATATCCTAGTGAGGATTAAACTACGGGTAACTTCTGAGAACTATTAATGAACTAATATTATATTTTTTCTGCAGCAAATAAGAATACTCTCCCAGTCTCTCATATTGTACGAGCATTCCATGTACCTAAATTAATTGCTGCTCTGGTTGTCGAAAGGGGCATCAGCCTCGTGACTTTCGAAGGAACTCGGATTTCACCATTTTTGTTGTTATATCTTTAAATATTACTTGTCTAATGTTAATATACGGACGTTGAAATATACATGATGACTATGATGATATTTTTATATAATTCTATGGACCGTTCGATAAATATAAATAAACTAACGGCTAATTTAAGATGACGCGCTTGTAATGGGGAATTCCAGTCATATTTTGCCATGTGGGATAACAGTAAATGCAAATCGGTTAGCAGTCATTCATGAAAATGGTAATCACCAAGATAACTAAAGTTTGGATGCAGATAACGTAGCTATCTCATAGGAAGCCTATCGAGAAATCTTATTTTCTAGCGTCAAATAACGTATTACGTACGGTAATACGACGGAGTTTTTAGTTAAGAATTTGATTGAGATTGCTTGTGTACATGCGACTCCGTAGTATGTCGACTTACTACGTATAAAATACATGATGCCGACTAAAACCTGAGAGAAATGTCAAAATATATGACTGTTTTACGGGAAATTAACTGCGAAGTGTCATGAGGCACCATCAACGTAGTACGAAATCAGCTAATGCAATTACCGTACTCGCCTGTTACTCTCGCTCCTAAGTAATGCGGATTTAAAGTAGACAGTTCTTACTTATTTACTTACTTACTTACTTGCTTACTTACTTATTCCTGTCACTCCTCATGGAGGAGCGTAGTCAATTCAGCAGCAACCTGCATTCAACTATGTCCTGGACAATCCTTTCCAGTTCTTCCTAGTTACCATTCATTCTTCTCATAACTGCCTCCGATTTTCGATGCAGTATGTTTTTAGACCTTTCTATTTCTCGTTTCTCCTCCGGATTCTAAGTTAGCGCTTGCCTGATAATGCAGTTTAGAGATTTCTGAAATAAATGTCATATCCATTTCCAAAGACAGAATTTCAGTATGATGTAAATCCCAAGGGATTCGGATTATATGCAAAGTACTGGTAATTTAATTCTTGGCGAGATACTTAGCGAAGATGCCAAAGGTGTTCGGAGTTTGACAACGCTTTAACCAGTAACACCTTCTAATATGAAGCGTACCGACCTAGTGAAATCAAAAGACAGAAACGAGGAGGGTCGAAGATATATTTGATAGGCTATCAATATATCGAGGATCGTCTAATCTAGTCTGGCTGGCGATTGCATGGGTTGTTGAGCACGACGTTCCCACTCGTGATCTGGTATGGATGCATGACCGAGTGCTTTCAGCTAAGTGGTCAGCATCCAATGTTGAAAACTTACAGAGCTATTTATTTTGAGGATTTATTCACCACCACAGTAGCGTCGACTGAATGAAAAATCTGACTTAAATCTGTGACTATAGGAAGTTTATAATCCAAACTCATTGTAAATTTCTGTCATTTGTCTTTTGTGTTTGACCATGGAACTCAGCAACCGGAAATTGGGCAGGCAGCGGTCAAGTAAAACCTAAATTCTGGTGCATATTTTGTGATCGAAATTTGTGTTCAAAGTGGTTAAGCAGGAAGATGAATTATAATCATGCATTTATAATCTACAGACAGATGTGCGCTTGCGTTGCCTTGTGGTTGAACTTATGAGTAGTTCATATTTTAACATTTATATTACACGAAGCACTCATATGCTTCTAGTGATTGTTAAAGAACCATGATATCTGGTCATAATCGCAGTTGAATAGTTTGTTATCATCAAACGACCGACTTAGTCAAATTCGAATACTTATAAAAAATGAGAGAAAACAATGAATATTCTCAGTAAATGGCGAAGTTAAGTAATAATGCACACAAAAAGAATAAGTATGAAATCCAATCATAAAAATTATAATATTAGGTTGCGTTATCCGAATTTTTGTCCACCAGTGCAGATAATCAATATACATGATTTTTGTCGAATGATTGGGGGCCTAGTCGAGTTAGATGGGAATGGTGTGACCAACCAAACAACGTCAACATCACATCACACGGTTGGTATCTGATGGGAATTACCATTTAGTCGTATCCAGGTACCGTGGCTGCTTTGACAACTGCATAACACAAACGACGTTATCACGACACCAATTATAAGTATTCATTTCTGAATTGACGTACACCAGCTGGTGTGTTGAGAAAGCTATGGTATTTTGACGTCAACACCAAGTAAACGAAGGGAACAATTCTACTAGGCTGTCAATTCAGATATTTGTCAGTTACTTAACCTCAAAAACTCCATAATTGGTGAAACGACATATACCTGATGGTAGTCTTCCAGCTAAATCTACAATATATATATGAGCTTTTAGTGAGGCTGATAAAAACGAACATCATGCTGTGATTTCCGGTTACTTCAAAATGTCGCCGAAAGATATCTGCACATGAAACATTGTTTTAATTGACAATTCACCAGGGGTCGATGAAATCAAACAATATGGCTGCGTCCATGGATGTAAACCTTCAAATGGATCAGGTTGGTTGGTCTATTTTAAATGATTTTTTGGCATTTCTGTGAGATGACAGCTGTTGTTTAGCCGGTTTTTAAAAACTGCTCCCAGTTAGTCCTCATTTTTGTCGTGTATTTCGAATATTAGAGTCTTGTACGACCTTGTGTGCACTAGTGTACATTTCATATTACCTGAAGTTGTTGTCAAATTTCATTTGACATACGCATTAATCAAAATTGTAAATGTGTTTTTTAGTACCATGCCCATCACCCTCATGTCTCTGGTGGTTCACTGTCTTCCCATCCTAGTTCGGGGCATCTGCAACACGAGGGTGCTAATACCCGCCTCCCGAATCAGTTTGGCATCCAGTCACAAGGCCATCATTTTGGTCATGTCCATGACTCGTATGTCAATTCGACCCCGTCTGTCCAGCAGATTTTGATGCAACAGCAAATCCAACATCAGCGGTCAGCTCATTTCGCTCCTCAAGGTATAGTTTCGGAATATGGATTTGTATTCCATTTGACGAATTGTTTACGCTTTTATCTGTCCAAAGTGATTTGCTCATTATTGGTGAGCTTGGTTACACATGCGAATGCATGTCAACGTGTTTGATATTAGTCGTTTTTACATATTATCTATATCGTATCAGATATCCTGATTAGTTACCAACGTGTGAAGTAGGCACTTTTAGAAGTGGACACGTATAAATATAAATTAGTGTTTCGTGGTATTAGTGTTTATTTAGAATTGATAGGGGTCTGTATTAAAACTGTCATATGGTAAACTGGATGGTACTGCCGAGTTCGCAAAGTGGCATCCTGCTTTTCATAGCGTTACGGATTGTTCTTGCCATTCAGCTCCCCTACACGGTTAGTATGAGCTTATAGTACTACTACTACTACTACAAGTGGCAACCCTCTGGTTCGATATTTTTTATCCATGTAGCCTATATATCTTTCAAATCAAAACACGCAACTCATGTAATGTTAGGTTTTCAATTAGTTCTGCTATTAAGATGCAAACTTACCAAACACTGTTATTTAACAGAATGCCACCAACTTTTTGGTGTACGCTTTTTCTTAGTATTGTGATATAATAGTATCTCTAAAGCCATCTGGCTTAATATAATCTATTACAAATTCATTCGCAGTTACAAGCGACGTGAAGTTTAGCATATGTTCCATCGGTCTAACTTGTCTCACCATGATAGCGAAACGAAGTGAAATCATCAAGACGAATACCATAGTAGTAATAATAGTGCTAATGATTAGACGTAGAAAATATGATTCTTCTAAACAAAAAGCACTAAATAACTTGGAGAATTTTTTGATCTAAAGAAAGACTGAATGCATATCCAGTTTTTATTCATAAGTCCATTGAATGTTAGATGATTAATATCCATCTGGTCGCTTCTCAAGAACTAAACCTCATGAATTTAGTGTAGGAAACTGAGAAAATACCAGTAATAGTGCATATTGAAAGTAAATGCTATTATGACATGTTGCTTTATTCTCTAACAGCATTTGTTTAGGGGCTATTACAATAAATCATAACTGAGATCAGATTGAGTTGCAGTCGTATTCAGTTTTAGATCGTTGGCTCAAAAGTTTAGGTTGTCATGGAACCTGTTTACTGTCAAAACGGAACCAAATTGCTGTTTATTCCCAAGTTATTTGATCTTTTGACCGTTTTTAGTAACTGTGCTGGCATATTTGGAATTAAGTTCCCTCCTGTAAGTTCTAAATAATGCTTGAGGGCTGTTCCACGTCAACGCTTGAACTAAGTATAAAGCGAAGTAGTTGAGTGGACCAGTCACTTTACCTAAATCGCTACAACCCTAGTCAATTGGTGTCAGACAAAAGCTCGATTATCTCTGTCAACTTACATTGACAAAATGTCCGTCAATCAACGAAAGAATGAACATACAGATCAAAAATTTACTTTCTACTTTATACCTGTGAAACATTGCTTCTAGTATTGAGGACATTTATAGGTTGCTAGTATTCGGTCATAGATGTTTTCGAACTATCCCTTGTGTACCTTAGAACCATCACTTTCGCCATCCTGAGGTTCTGAATAAGAATTGCAAATCGACTGATGGGTTAATGAATCTGTATCGACTGAGTTAGCCAAAACATGTGTCGCGTATGCCCATCCACTGACTACCTTGACTCGCGATAATAGCTGGTGTAGGGGTAGGTTGGAGAAAGGCTAAGGGAGGCTAAACTAAGACATTAGTCTATGGAAACACCGACTTTTGAACTGAGTCATGTAGACAGGTGAGGACTACCTGGTTTAGTTTCGCGTGACTATCGTAACCAATGGTCGGCGACGGTGACATGGCTCAGAATCAATCACAATGGCGTAGGTGTATGCACTCTGTCTTCCCTACGTTGTAGCTGACTGGTCACGATATGTGAACATTGTTTAATTTGAAAAGCTTGATCATTGCGTATCTGTTGCCAGTTTTGTCAATTTCGGTTTTTATCGTATAAATTAGTATCCAGTTGGTTGTCAATGACGTGCTGGTCTATATGATCAAAAGATAACGTTAGAACCAATCGACAACTGTTAAATTTGCGCTTGTTAGTGGTAAAATTGTCATGTCACGACTTCCATTTCAGCGTCCAACAATTTTGTGTATATTGTTTGTCTAATCAATAAGTGCTGTCTCAAGATATTCAACCCCACGTTACCAAACTATTATTTATTTGGACACAAACACTGATACAAGGGGGCGCCATATACATATGCGCCGCAATAACAATGAGGCCAGTAGTAGTTATCATTGATTTATGTGAGGGCTGTGATACTGCTCGGGTGCTCAAACCGAAGCAAGTGGTTTTCTTAAGGGGCCACACCCGGAGCCTTCGACCTAAAGGTCTGATCCACAAGGCAGTGGGGCAACTTAAGGAGATGCAGTTCCATGGTAGCAGGTGACCAACGATCGGTTCATACGCCATTTGTTCCCTTAAAGTACTGGAGCCCATCTGCACCATTGATTTGGAATCAGGGTTTTCCAACTCCACTTGATGGATCCTCTGTGTCCACTATCACAGTTAAAGCTCCGGACATTCACTTTTTATCCTCTCAATTTCGTACACAACAGTAATGCCGCGAGGTAGTTAGTAGCACTTCCTCGGCATGTGGCCATGTGAGAGCATTTCGAGAGAGAGTGAACTCTCCCCACCCTCCGCCGTACCAATGCATTTGGGGGCAACTTTTGACTTACTACTGAGTTACTGTAATGCAGCTTCAAAGTTATTTCCATTTGATGACATTCATAGGATAGTCTAAATACCTTCAACACCGCGTTATTACTTGTGCATACCTAAGACTGTTTGTCTCAAAGGGTTCAGTGACATAATCTTCAATACAAAAACTGTTCATTTGCCATCTGATTTTACTGGTGGTAGTAATAAAAGTCGAAGTAGTATCGTCATTCAGTCATGAGTACTCTCAAGTGTCTGTCATTGAAAGGCGTACCTCAGAAGTACATAAACCTTGTGAAGGCTCTTTACTCGAACACTACTAGTCGAGTCAGGGCTTATGGCGAACTGTCATCTACTTTTGCAACCTCAAGTGGTGTCCGTCAAGGCTGCCCACTTTCCCCATTTTTGTTTAACTTCATCATAGACCTATTGATGGAAATAACACTCTCGTCGACTGAATTCTCGGGTATTGATCTCCATCCAGGAGGTCCACTTATCGACTTAGAATACGCAGATGACATAGTCCTGTTTGGTGAAGACGCTGACAAAATGCAGAGTCTTCTGGTAGCACTAAGCAACAATGCCAGAATGTTTGGGATGCGCTTCTCTCCCTCTAAATGCAAGTTGTTGCTTCAGGACTGGTCTGCGTCAACACCTGAACTAAGGATAGGGAGTGAAGTAGTCGAACGCGTTGACAACTTCACTTATCTTGGAAGTCTGATCAGCCCTAATGGGTTGGTGTCTGACAATCTCAGCACGGATTCGAAAAGCTCGTTTGACTTTTGCCAACTTACGTCACCTTTGGCGGAGGCGAGATATCCGTCTATCAATAAAAGGACGAGTATACTGCGCGGCAGTTCGTTCTGTTTTAATTTACGGCAGCGAAACATGGCCCTTAAGAGTAGAAGACACCCGTAAGCTACTAGTATTTGACCACAGATGCCTTAGAAATATTGCTGGCATCTGCTGGGATCACCGGGTAAGTAATAGTGAGGTTAGACAGGATATTAGGGAATGATGGTAAATCAGTTGATGAGGTTATGAATCTTCATCGACTGGGATGGTTGGGCCACGTATTACGTATGCCTGAACACCGATTACCGCGACGTGCAATGCTAACCGGTGTAGGGGATGGTTGGAAGAAAGTTAGGGGCGGCCAAACCAAAACGTGGCATCAGTGCCTGAAGTCACTAACTTGTAGTCTGAGCCATGTTGGTAGATGCAGACTACTTGGTTGGGGTCCGCGTGACTATCGTAACCAATGGTTGGAGACTCTTGGTGACATGGCTCAGAATCTATCACAATGGCGTCGGTGTATACACTCCCCGTCTTCCCTTAAACTAAAAGATTAAAATCACTTCATATCTTTCTTTATACGAACTAATTCTTTCTTCCTATACTATATCCTTATTGCAATCCTCCTATATATTTCCACCTCTGAATTAACTACTTTTATGAATCCGGTGTTCATCTTGCTGTGCTAATGAGGTATGGCAACCTGGACCGATGCACATATGTGCCTGGTCCTACGTTGTAGCTGACTGACTTACTAACTTAGCTGGGTGAATTGGAATTAACAAGATGGATATCATAGTAAAAAACTAGTACAGTCGACAATAAAAATACGAAATACCGGAAAATGCAGTTCAACAAGAATAGATAAATTCAGAAAATGAGAGTAAGAAATAATTTGAAGCTCAGTACTTTGGGTAAGATAATGCAGTGTGACCACTAAGGCTCTATGTAATTAAGCTGTATATATTCTTGTGTCTTGAATGTAGTAAAGTCGAATAAGAAATTTCGGAGTTAAATGTGAAGTTTGGAACAGGAAGCGTCCTTTAGTCGGTCAGTTTGTAAATTCGCTTGGTCCAGACCAAACTAAAAATCTTTCTCGTGGAAATTCATCGGATAGTTTTGGGTTAAGACATGGTTAGGTAACTCTCCTACCAGGTTTGAATTTTTTTACGCATCCCTAGGCCACATTTTATGGAGGCTAGCAACACTATTCGGCTACCAAAACCAGAGTAGGCGGGATAACGGTTAAAAGCTTTAACCACCAATCCACTGTCTCATTAGTTAATACATATTAAGTGGATAATTACTTGCGCCAAATGATTCAACCCCGATCATTGAAGTATAAATATTAGTTTATGTTTATTAAAGATACTAAGGAAATTGCAACTCACTAACTCAACCCAGGGTTATATATTTCCACCTATTATATCATATCTGGAGTTGATACATGGTTATGTAGGGTGTACTAGGTGGGGAAAGATGTGGACCCATGGTCCAGTAACTAACTTTTATGTCCAAAACACGGAGCCATAGCATTTCCCCTACTTAGTTAACTGCTTGCGCATACCATTCGAGATTATTTTCAAATTTCGTTTCGCTCACTAACTTACATTTTACAATGTAAAAACAGATGAATTTGACATCTGTTTCATATGTCGTTACGCCCATCATTCGCTAGTAGTTTAGTTCGTCCGCATACTATTGGATCTAAATTTTGACCAGCTCTTCACCTATTTCGGTTCGTGCAGTTAGGTAATGCATCTATCAGTCGCTAAGCATTGTTTTGACTTATTCACAAACAATAATTTTATTGTTGACTTACATCAGTTCACAAAAAAAGTTAATGTGTCGCAATACTGTTGTTTTTCTAATTTGCACATTTAACATCTGTAACTCCGTATTTCGGTCTGACATGAAGAGTTCATTATGATCAGTTATGCTAAATAACTCTTATCATGTGTGGTGTAAATCTCTCATATTTCCAAACATTTTACTCGTTTCTATTCACTTAAGTATATGACAGCAATGAGCGGTTAACAAAACCACACCCCAATCACAATACAAGTCCTCTGAATCAGGTAAATCAAATGCGCATTCAAATACCTGCTCACCAACAAATTCCCCATCCTTTGCAACCCAATAATCCCACTGTCACTTCAAATCCCCGATATTCTCCTATAGATCATCATGGATCGCATCATTCCCCACCAATCTCGAAAGATAATTACAACACTTCTGCCTATCATTTGCAAGACCAGTCACATGTCCTTACTCATACATCTCATTTACAGCAACCTGTATATCCTTATCATGGAGATTCATCCCAAATGCAAAATCCACAGACGACCGCCCACACAACGGAATTATCCAATTCTCAGTATACGGGACATCACTTATCCATGCAATTAAATAACAGTGCTTCCGGAGATAACGATATTCACCATTCTGGTAACCAACATCCTCATGTTTCTGCTGGTTTCCAAGCCCCTCCAGCTCCCTATGTACCTCCAGCTAAAAAGCGGCGGGGAAGACCCCCAACTCATCCAACTTTTGATGTCGGTAAGTCAAATGATACTCTTAAGTTACGTAAATGTTTGCTCCTCCAGTCGAGTTTTTGTTTTCAAATAAACCCGTAAAGTTCCTGCCTCTTCTGTCCTTGATTTATGGCTATAAACGTCTATCTTCCAACTCGTTTCTCATCTCAACCTTTTTCGTTCTTAACAGTATTTACAATCAAACCACTACATTTCTCTTATTGCAACAAATTCCAGACATTAGTAAAACAATCCAAAAGTGAGTTTGCAAACGCCAGTTTTTAACGCTAAATACTAGCAACGTGCAAAAACTAAAGTGAACATTTTTGATTCGAAGATGTTTGAGTGTCTTTTCATCTATTCAAATATAACCGAGTCCATCTCAATTGATTTACTATGAAACGTTGAATATTTGAAGAGCAAATGCCAGAATGCTATTCTTACTGTTTTGCCTTTTGCCTCTAATGTAATTATTTATCTACTGTTCTGTAGGTGCTGGAACCTTACTTGACGAAGACGAGCATACCCTCTATGGAGCTATACGGTCGGGAAGAGTAGCTCCACAAACAGTTGTTGATGATTGGATTGAACAATATAAAACAAATCGTGAACCAGCTATGTTGGAATTGATCCAATTCTTTATTTCGTGCAGTGGTTGCAAAGGTAAAGTTCTGTGTATAATGTATATCATTGTTTGATATAATTTCTGTATACATTTTGTGTGGGGATGTTATGTTTCAAGCTGGGTATAGTACGGTTGTGATATTAATGGTCTAAAAGCGAATCTAACGCGAATTAATAAATTGAACAATGAGTACACAACCTCTCACAAATAAGAGGGGAAAGTTAGCATTTATAAACTACTTGTTTTTCGTGAAAAGTAATTCACGTAACAAACAACTTTGGATAATGCAATGAGATGATAAAGGTTATCAGAATTCTCATCGCATTATCTTATTTTATCAAAGGGACTAATTGCTTTAAAAAAATTTAGAATTAATGACAAGACCTCAAAAAACCAATAAAATGGTTTGTTGAAATTGATAATTAACACTAAACAACCAATATGAGGTAGAAAAAATATACTTGTAAAATGTAGTATGAGTCAGGAATACTTAACTCTGTCATGTTTAACTGTCTTTTGAAGTCATTATTTTATGCTTTTTATTAATTCGACTCAGTCAATTAACTTGACCCACTTTTGTCCCAGATAATAACTCCCGTTATTCAGAATAAAATCTAGAAATGTTCCACTATTCTGTCCAGACAATTTTCCTTTATATATATAGACGAAACTAAATTAGAAAAATACATGGATATGCCCCATGAGTGAGAATTTTCTCTTGTAATACTTTACGGATAGTAAAAATATCTTCAAGACCTAGCGGGGAAAAAGTTTAACGAATAATAAAAACCTTCGTTGTGTAAATAGAAGCGAAGCTTCATCCAAATATTGCCTCAAATTCCTATTGACCTCAACTACTATTTATGGGAATGTGAGTCATTTCACTGACTTAGACGTTTAAGTTATGGATTTTAAATCACTATTCTTACTCGTTAAAGGTATAGTACTTAAAGATTAGAATATCTTTTTTCTTAATATAGGAAAAGTAACACCGGAAATGTATAGCCGTTTGTCACATGCTGATATTATTCGTCGAATGACTGAAGAGTTTGATGAAGACTCGGGTGAATACCCACTTATACAATCAAGCCCAGTTTGGAAACGCTTTCGTTCAAATTTTGTTGAATTCATCCAAGTATTAATTCGTCAATGTCAATACAGCATAATTTACGATCAATGCATGATTGATCAAGTGATCTCTTTATTGACAGGCCTTACTGACTCACAGGTAAGATATACATCTCAGTAATTACCCATATACAGATGCAATTACTAAACAGTTGTTCTAATGATGGCATAAAAATTGGTAGTGTTGATAGAATTGTATTTTTGTTGTCAGTATTTGTAGCTTCTTAAGAAAAACATTACCCAAAATCATTTCCATTCGAGGTAAAATGTTGTAGTTACCTCTTGTGTGTACTTAATCGTCAGCCAATGCTGAATATGGATAAAGTTTTTTACTTTAACATTTCGTTTATAGGTTCGGGCGTTTAGACATACCAGTACATTGGCTGCTATGAAAATGATGACTGCTCTTGTTGATGTTGCGCTCAATGTTAGTATCAATAGAGATAACACACAACGTCAGTATGAAGCTGAAAGATCAAAAGTTCAGAACCGACGTGCTTCTGACAGACTTGAAGTGCTAATGCAACGTCGACAGGAATTAGAAGAGAATATGGAGGAAGTCAAAAATATGCTTGTATACATTTTCAAAGGTGTTTTCGTTCATCGATACAGGTAAATTTGAGTGTAAGGACTTTAGGTTTTATGGAGTGAACTATTTTATTCCTCTCGTTTTTTTCTTCATTGAAAACTTTAATAAAATGAAATATCAGCATAAGTCCCAAAATATGTCACCTAAAAGTCGATAAATTAGATTTTATATTTAGAGTTAATTAATATAATCTGTTCTTGTGGCTTTAAATTACATCGTTTTGCCAAAAAAAACACATTTAGAAGATACTTAGTTTTGTCAGCACCATTCTGCATCAGTATTCCACCAAAATATGTTTGCTGTGGGTTAAAGTTAACAGTTCATTTGCATTATTTCTTACGTTTTGTAGGACCACCAATATCTCTGAATAAAGTAGGTACTTTACTGAATTAGTTTGTACAACCACTTCTACTACTGTCAATTTAGGTATGTGACAAGGCTTCGGGTGTGGTTCCCTAAGAAAACCTGCTTCGGTTTGGGCACCCCGACAGTATCCCAGCCCTCACATAAACCGAATAATTTATGTGGCGCATATCTATTTGGTGCCGCCTTGTGCCAATCTTTATGTGTTTAAGTAAAAAAATAAAATGTTACATTGCTTGGATTTTCTGTAAATCAAAAAACGTTATAACTAGGATAAGATGCAAAATCTTCCCATAATGTTAACCGACAAGTAAACGTATTACATGCTGTCTTAATTCAACTAGAGCTTTCCGTCATGTTTTAGTTATTACTAAACCGGAATAGACTAGTTTAATGTTGATGATGTAGTCCCTCAACTATATGTCAGTATTCTTCCAGAAACAGTTTGCTAGATATTTTCCGTTTTTTAGACAATTCAACTAAGTACAGAATGTTTTATACTGACGTATTTTACCTTGTGAACAGGTCTGACTTAATGTGTATATGCTATAATGTAGCGTTGATGATCTCAGACGTTTTGAAAGGTTTGTAATAACCCCAACTCTTAAAAATCTCACTTAGGATTTCCTACTTTACAGGTCCTTTTTTGTTTGTTTGTTTTCAGGGATAGCCAGGCAGAAATACGAACAATATGCATGCAAGAAATCGGTGTCTGGATGCGTCGTTATCCAGCTATGTTTTTAGACGACAGTTACTTAAAGTATGTTGGTTGGACACTTTATGATAGAATTGGAGATGTTCGTCTTCAGTGTCTTCGTGCTTTACAGCCCTTGTATGAAGATCCTGCTCTCATCAATAGTCTGGAGCTTTTCACTTCTCGTTTTAAATCACGTCTTGTGGATATGACACTTGATAAAGAGACTGAAGTGGCAGTTCAAGCTGTAAAACTAGTCTCGTGTATATTGAAGTGAGTCTTAAAATCATACAGAACTATAATTTAACTCTGTCCGTAACTGGTTATTTTCTCAAACAAGATTATATCGTCTATGTATCCTAATTTTATTAAGAACCCACTGCTATCACACAACATTCTGTATTTTTTCTCGTTTGACAGCCGTTGTGAACTGAATTACAAACTATTTAGGATTCTTCTAATACGGAACGTAATCTTTGCTGAATAGACCGACGACTCATACACAGCACTTCAATAGTAATCCCTTACAGAGTTCGAATAAAACAAAGAGAAGTCTTTTTAAGAAAGTATATTAATGAAAACCCCAAAGGAAAAGTTAATTTACACCTAAATTAATGAAGCTGCATTTCAATTAATTTCACTGGTTATCGACTGAGTAATCATCACTTGGGTGCAAAATAACAATGAATTAAGTAATTAACACAATGAAAATGCTTTAAGATCGATTCGTTAACTTCGTAGTCAATTAATTAATCAAAGTGAAAAAGACATCGGAAGTCAGTCAACGGAGTTCACATGTGAATTTTGAAACTGATTTCTTCCTAAATGTAGTATATACGAAGTGATTAACAAATTCGAATACTTCACTCCATCATAGGAAAACTTGCTGAAGTAGATCAGTTCTGACGTAACATTTTGGACTGAGTGTTCAGAGGACTGTATTCGGTCAGAAACTCCTAGATACAACAGTAAATTGTTTGTCTACTTTATTTCGATCAGGAATTCTCCAAGTAGAAAATCAAACCCTAATTACTTACGCTTGTTGCACCTCATGGAGGAGCATAGGCCACCCACAAGCATTCTCCATCCAACTCTGTCCTGGACAATTCTTTCCAGTTTTTTCTAGTTGCTATTATTTTTTTTTCGTATCGGTTTCCGATTTTCAACACAGTGTGTTCGTAGGTCTTCCGCTTTTTCGTTTCTCTTCAGGATTCCAAGTTCGCGCTTACTTTGTGATGTTTGATTATTCCCTCAATGTGTGTCCCATCCACTTCCACCGTCTTTCCTTAATTTCCCCTTCAACTGGAAGTTGATTGCTAATGGTTTCAGACCAAAGGACACTGAATATTTTGTGTAGACAATTGTTTATAAATACTTGTAGCTTTTTGATGATCGTTGTGGTAATTCTCCAAGTTTCAGCTCCATACAGTAGAATTGTGTTGACGTTCGTATTGAAGATTGTGACTTTGATATTGGTTGCATATATTCTCCAACTGTAGGAATACTGTCCTTGCTTTGTCAATCCTCACCTTCACGTCTGCATCAAATCCTCCCTGTTCATCGATGATGCTACCTGGATACATGAGACGTTCCACATCTTCTAGAATTTCTCCATCAAGTGTGATTGGATTGGTGTTCTCTGTGTTGTGTTTGAGGATATTTATCATTTGTGTATGTTGAGGCCTATTGATGCAGATGCTCCTGTCACACTGGTTGTCTTGACCTGCATTTGTTGGTGTGCGTTTGTGTATGGGATAGAAGGGTCAGATCATCTGCGAAGCCCGTATCGTCTAGTCGATTCCGAGCTTTCCACTGCATTCCGTGCTTCCTGTCATACTTGGCCCGACCGTTGTTGCTACCTTGACGTGGTGGTCGGGCTTGCCTATCGTGATGAAGCAACCGAGCTATACTGGCTGGAACAACCGTTCCTCAAGGTCCTACCATGTCAGACAGGTCGGTTGAAGAGCGGTAAGACTAAAAGCAACAAACCCAAGGTCCGAAGGCGAAGTCGTACTGCTGACTGTACAGAGGTGTGACAGCAGTAAGGTGTTTCCTTCAGACAACCAGCATGACAGCGATGCTGCCTTCCCACAAGGAGGGGTGGGGTTAGAAAAGGTCGACCCTAAAAATGCACACCTCACGGATTTCCGTCTCCGGCGGTAAGGCCCTTTGAAGAACGGAGCTAACACGTCAAAACCTCCACGAAAAGGCCGTGCGCGACCGGCCTCAAGCAGTTGTCCCTTGGGCACTGCGGTCACGCTCTCAGGTCACTGAGACCACCTCTAATCCAATTTCCTTTTCAGGTACCTCCAGAAGAACCCTTCCACGGTGTGGGCAACCGGGAAGTGATAACCGCCCTCATACCTCTAACAGCACCCAAGACCACTGTATTCATAATCAACCTTCCTCTTCAATTCCTATTATTCCTCCTACATCGACTTTCAACTCTAAACTTCCTCTTTCGGCTTCCTCCTCAAGTGTCACCATAGCCAACGATTCTAGTGCTCAAAACTCTGTCCCAGGTCTACTGAAACCTCGCTCCAAACTACACATTGGAGCCTTCAACGTACGCACCCTATGTCAAATCGGTCAGCAGGCTTCCTTGGCTAAAACCCTAGAGTCTCTTTCCATTGATGTATGCTGTGTCTCCGAAACACGCATACAGGATTCCAGTGTGGTCATTCACTTGACCTCACCTCGGCAAACGGAGAGCCAACGAGATACACCCTCCGTGTATCTGGTGACCCGATGGCAAGTTCTCGTGGACTGGCAGGTGTAGGCATAGCACTAAGCATGAGGGCCGAACAAGCACTGCTAGAGTGGATCCCCGTCAACAGTCGTCTATGTGCTGTTCGGCTAAACGGCTCCGTAAGAACTCGGAAGGATAGGGACACACGTCGTTGCCTTTTTGTCGTTTCTGCCTACGCTCCCACTGACTGCAGCTCAGATGAAGTGAAAGATGAATTTTACAGAAAGCTTTCTGAACTTCTTCAGAAAGCTAAACGCTCAGACATAGTACTCGTAGGGTGACTTTAATGCTCAGATAGGTAGCTTAAACCAAACAGAAAGGCATTTAGGTGGATATTTTAGTATTCCGGCACAGCGAACAGATAATGGTGATCGTCTGCTGCAACTGTGCTCAGACAATCGTTTATTTTTAGCAAACACAAATTTTAAGCATAAGGAGAGACATCGTCTAACATGGCGACCCCCTACACCAAACCAACGATGGACTCAAATAGACCATATTGCCATCAGTCATCGTTGGAGAGGGTCGGTAGAAGATTGTCGCTCATTCTGGAGTACCTGCTTGGACTCCGACCATGCCCTAATACGGGCACGCATCTGCTTGCGCCTCACTGGACGCAAAAAAGCCACATTAAAAAGACCCATTAGAACTGAGTTGAGTAACGAGAAAACCAAAAGTAGGTTCCAGGAACAACTGAGGTCACACTTAGGTAGTTCTGAAGACGAGGCTGACCCAGATGTTGCTTGGAAAGATACAAGCAGCTGTGGAAACAGCAGTGACATCTATTAGCGACTTAAACCACAGAGTTACAAAGAACCAGTGGATTTCTTCAAAGTCTATCACACTGATGGATTCTCGCAAACTCGTCCCATCAGGTTCCGAACATGATGAAGAGCGACAACAAATCAGATCTAGGTTAAGAAAAAGTCTAAGGAACGACCGTGAGCAGTGGTGGGCAACGAAAGCAAAAGAGATGGAAAAGGCGGCGACTATAGGGAACACAAGACAGCTTTACAGACTAATAAAAGAAACTGGAATTAATAAGTCAAGTGTAAGTGAGATTATTTCGGAAAAAGACGATACTCTCATCTGCTCCCAGTCCAGACGTTTAGAACGATGGGCGGAACATTTCAGAGAACAGTTCAGCTGGCCTTCAGCTACTCTACAACTACCCTCCATTCCCAGACAGTGTGAATGGAACATTGAAGTAGGTCCCCCAACTCTTGCTGAAGTTCAAAAGGCTATAGTTAATCTGAAACGAGGAAGGGCAGCTGGTCCAGATGGACTGGCTCCAGAGGTCTTTAAGGATGGTGGTCCAATTTTAGCGATTAGGTTGACTAATATTTTAGCTAAGATCTGGGAATTAGACGTTATCCCATCTGACTGGTCACAATCACTTATCGTCCCAATATATAAGAAAGGGTCAAAATCATCCTGTGACAACCACAGAGGGATTAGTTTAACTAATATAATATCTAAAATACTAGCCTCGATAATTATCAGACGCCTAACTAAGACTCGTGAACTGCAAACACGAGAGAACCAAGCTGGCTTTAGACCTGGTCGTGGCTGCATCGACCACATATTCACCATTCGTCAGGTTCTAGAACACAGGCATACTTATCGGCGTCCGACAATGGTGGTCTTTCTTGACTTAAAAGCAGCATTTGACTCTGTAGACCGCGAGATTCTGTGGCAGTGTCTGTCATTGAAAGGCGTACCTCAGAAGTACATAAACCTTGTGAAGGCTCTTTACTCGAACACTACTAGTCGAGTCAGAGCTTATGGCGAACTGTCATCTACTTTTGCAACCTCAAGTGGTGTCCGTCAAGGCTGTCCACTTTCTCCATTTTTGTTTAACTTCATCATAGACCTACTGATGGAAATAACATTCTCGTCGACTGAATTCTCGGGTATTGATCTCCATCCAGGAGGTCCACTTATCGACTTAGAATACGCAGATGACATAGTCCTGTTTGGTGAAGACGCTGACAAAATGCAGAGTCTTTTGGTAGCACTAAGCAACAATGCCAGAATGTTTGGAATGCGCTTCTCTCCCTCTAAATGCAAGTTGTTGCTTCAGGACTGGTCTGCGTCAACACCTGAACTAAGGATAGGGAGTGAAGTAGTCGAACGCGTTGACAACTTCACTTATCTTGGAAGTCTGATCAGCCCTAATGGGTTGGTGTCTGACGAAATCTCAGCACGGATTCGAAAAGCTCGTTTGGCTTTTGCCAACTTACGTCACCTTTGGCGAAGGCGAGATATCCGTCTATCAATAAAAGGACGAGTATACTGCGCGGCAGTCCGTTCTGTTTTACTTTACGGCAGCGAAACATGGCCATTAAGAGTAGAAGACACTCGTAAGCTACTAGTATTTGACCACAGATGCCTTAGAAATATTGCTGGCGTCTGCTGGGATCACCGGGTAAGTAATAGTGAGGTTAGACGCAGGGTATTAGGGAATGATGGTAAATCAGTTGATGAGGTTATGAATCTTCATCGACTGAGATGGTTGGGCCACGTATTACGTATGCCTGAACACCGATTACCACGACGTGCAATGCTATCCGGTATTGGAGATGGTTGGAAGAAAGTTAGGGGCGGCCAAACCAAAACGTGGCATCAGTGCTTGAAGTCACTAACTTCTAGTCTGAGCCATGTTGGTAGATGCAGACTACTTGGTTGGGGTCCGCGTGACTTTCGTAACCAATGGTTGGAGACTCTTGGTGACATGGCTCAGAATCGATCACAATGGCGTCGGTGTATACACTCCCTGTCTTCCCTTAAACTAAGAGATTAAAATCACTTCATATCTTTCTTTCTACGAACCAATTCTTTCTTCTTGTACTATATCTCTATATGCAATCTTCCTCTTATTTATTACCACCTTTGACCTAACCACTCCTATGAATCCGGTGTTCATCTTGTTGTGCTGATGCGGTATGGCAACCTGGACCGATGCACATATGTGCCTGGTCCTACGTTGTAGCTGACTGACTGTCATACTTGGAGGTCTTCATAATCCAGCTAACCACCAGAAGAAAGAGAAAGGGTGATAGTAAGCAGTCTTGTCAGACTACTATCCTCACTTGGAATGCTTCTGTCAGCTATCCTTCATACACGGATAGACAGTGTAATCCGTCGTATGAATTCTGGATGATGTTGACGATCTTTTCAGGTACATCATAGTGTCGCAGAAGGTTCCATGAGGTTTTCCTATCCACACTATAAAATGCTTTCTCATAGTCAAGGAAGTTGATATATAGTTACTAGTTGCATTCAATCGATTGTTCAACAATGATCCGTAGCGTTGCGATTTGGTCTTTGAAAGACCGATCCTTACGGAATCCTGAATGTTGATCTTGAAGCTGGACGTCTACTGAATCTTTCGTCCGGTTCAACAACACTGTTGAAAACTTTCTCTGCTACCTATTGTAGTGTGCAATGGCGCAGGTGCATCCACTCTTTGTGTTCTCCCAAATTCTAATCTTCTGACTTCTTCATGTCCCTTTCTTTTTACTCTTTCCAAATTTATTTCACTGGATTATACTCCTTGAATAACATCTTCAAACCCTAATTTTTCTGACTACAGCTTATAAGTTTACTACATCTAGCACTACGGGATTTGAATCGACCACTGCATCTCTGTGCTAATGTAGTGTGGCAACTCGAACTGATGTACGTACGTACGAAGTTCCACGTTGTTACTGACTGACTGATAGTAGTGCGATGCCTCTGTAGTTCTCACATTGCTCAGATCTTTGTTTGGTATCTTGTTAAGGTTTTCTTTTTTCCAGTCAATTGGCACTTGTTCTTCCTCCCAAAGCTCCCTGAATAGAATGTGGAGCATGTTTGCAGTTACTTCTGTGGTTGACTTCAGTGCTTCGGCTGATATATTTCAGGCCTCGTTACTTTCTCACTCTTGACTTGTCTGATGGCCATCCTGTTTTCTTCGATCCTTGGTGAAGTGACATCTATAGGAAGGTGTATGTGTGCTGCTTCGATATGCGGTGGATTCAAGGGAGCTGGTCAGTTCAAGAGTTCCTCGAAGAATTCTGTCCCTCTATTCTTAAATTTCAGTGATTGTTTTGCCTTCCTTGTTCCTTACTGGTCACTCTGGTTTAGTGTATTTCACTGCTAATTTCTTCGTTGTACCATATGGTTGTTCAATATTTCCTTCTGTTGCAGATTTTTCCACTGTCGTTACTAGATCTACCACTTATTTCTTTTTGTTGGCTCTAATGCTGTTTTCCACTCAATTGTTTGCTTCTGTGTATTCAATTTGTCTCTTGACTTTCTCGGTTCTTGTTCGACTAATGTTAATTGCTGTTTTCTTGTTCTTCTTTCTTGTCTAGGGTTTCCATAGAGGTCCATTTCTTATGATGCTTGTTGCAGCCCAGCAGCTCCTAACACTTTGAAGTTGGTACTTCTTTCAACCCTTTCGAATTGTCCTCCATAGTAGTTTCCTCTTTCAGTAGATCCTGTAAGGCTTGGAACTTGTATTGAGAGTTATCTTGAATAAGTTGAGTTTGTCAGTATCTCGTAGGAAGGCTGTATTGAACCTTTGTCCAGTTGTCCAATGCTTCTTCACTTTCAGTTTCATCTTGGCTCTTGGTTCTCATGTCTCCCATTGAACTGAATTTTTTACTGGTGCAAATATGATCCGTCTGGTTCTCCGTGGTATAGTCCGCTGAGACCCATGTAGCTTTGTGGGGGAGTATCGTGCCGCCTTTAACCAGTTTGTTAAATGCACAAAGCTATGCAAATCACTCACCATTCCTGTTTTTTCCTCCTAGTCCATGTCGTCCCATGATATCTTCATACCCAGAGTTGTCCATTCCGACTTCGGCGTTTACATCTCCCATCAGGATGACCAACTCCGTCCATCCATACCCGAAGATAATTTTCATCTTGTCTAGGATGTTGGAAATATCAGTCAGTTAGTCGGCCACAACGTTGGACCACGTAAATATATGCATCCGTCCTTGTTGCCATACCTAATTAGCACAATACGATGAACTTCGGATTCATAGAAGTAGCTAATTCAGTGGTGGTAATACATAAAAGAAAGATTGCATATAAGGATATAGTACAGAAAGAAATAATTAGTTGGTAGAAGAAAAGATATGAAGCGATTTTAACCTTATCGTTTAAAGGGAAGATAGAAAGTGTATACACCTGCGCCATCGTGATCGATTCCAAGCCATATCACCAAGAGTCTTCAACCGTTGGTTACGATAGTCACGTGGACCCCAACCAAGTAGTCTGCATCTACTAACATGTCTCAGACTAGAAGTTAGTATCTTCAAGCACTGACTTCAGTAACTGATGCCATATTTTGGTTTGGCCACCCCTAACTTTCTTCCAACCATTCTCAACATTAGTCAGCATTGCACGTCGTGGTAATCAGTGTTCAGGCATATGTAACACGTGGCCCAACCATCTCAGTCGATGAAGATTCATAACCTCATCAACTGATTTACCGTCATTCTCTAATACCCTGCGTCTAACCTCATTATTACTTACCCGGTGATCCCGATACTGGAATGGGATATGACTTGGTCATGTTTAGATAACCTTCATACATCTCACCCTACGCTCATATATAGTTTTAACAGCTGATAGTAAACCTTCACCTTTGTATTTTTCATACATGTGATAATCGTCAATACCTACTTCAAGATTAGTTTTCGAGTTGGGTGATATTTTAGCAGTCTAGCACATCACACATCGATAACTGAGTGAGATCAAACGGTCCAAATCTTTTTTCGGACTTATAATTAAAGAAGACTGTCCCCAATACTAAGTAGATCATCCTTTTGGTTATAGTTAACATTTACCAAGTTCTGTGGCACTAAATCTCTCCTCGCTTATCTAAAATCATTAAGCCATACTAATCCCGTGCATTCTCCAACCAAGGAGATCAGTGACTTTGTAATTAAGGCGTCCGTCTTTTAATCATTGTTCCCCGGGTTACAGCTCCACCCACCTAATTGAGTCTGGGCTACGAAGTGGTATCATTAGCCCTAACAATTAGTGTGGTTTATATTGAAATCTCTAGTGAGTGAGTTTATTTTTTTAAAAGGGTTATCACGCAAATGCATTCATGTTTTTAATTCATAGATCTTATAAGAAAATCCTGTTATCTGTGTATTACACCCGGTATCTCAGTCTTTACATATAATTCTCTGTCATCACCCCAACCTTATTAATTTCAATTTATCCACTAGTTTCTTTTTGTAATGTTTTTGTCATGACCTTGAATGTCTTGTTTTGCTACCACGCGACCTATCGACCAATCCGGATACGACTTATACGGATCTTCACACTAGGCTAACCAATGACGTTCAACCGGTGCGGGCAGTCTAGCGTCCTTACTGGTCCTATGTCCTCCGAGCCCTTCCACTTGAGTCCAGAACACAATACCAGCTTCGAATCGGAGCAGATCGTTTATTTCAAACATACTCGGTTTATATATCAACCAGACAGACCACAACGCACCATAAATTAGAAAATAACATGTGTACACAAATAAGCCAAAAGTGGCTGTGCACGAGGGGGACAGTGAATAATAGACTGAGCATAGATTAAAAAACCGTAAATCGTATAATAATAAATTATAGGTCAAAATAAAGCTTATAATAAGAGGAATATAAATATACGTAATGTAATTGTTGAATAATTATACAATAAGAATATTTATAGAATATTAGTTCATTAATAGTCCTCGGGAGTACCTGTAATTTAATCTCCACTCGGATATAATAGTTTTTATTTACAATCGGTAACAATGCATTGTGTTACTAGATTAGTTAGTTTGCTCCCATCAAAAGTATCACATTGTTTATTTATCTGTCTCATCTATTTGTTTCTTAGGCATAGTGACTCAGTACTTGAAGACAAGGATTGTGAAAATATATATGAGTTAGTTTATTGCACTCACAGGCCTTTGGCACAAGCAGCTGGTGAATTTTTAACTTTAAAACTTTTTGAAGTTGATTCCCATGCTCCTCCCACTAGAACCAGAAAAGGTAAAAAACGTAGTGAAAATACACCACTCATTCGTGACCTCGTGCAATTTTTCATCGAGAGTGAAGTAAGTTTGAAAAAAGCAACAGTTTTCCTAGTTTTTATTTATAGTCAACTTACAAATTGCTTAAAGTCGTACTTTTAAAGTAAAAATTTCTTACAATGAATTCGTGTTTCCTTTTGAGTAATATTTATATTTTATTTGAAGTAACTAACTGATAATCTGGATTTTCATAGGTAATCACATTTAGGGCGTACTTGAACGTCATTAAATATCAACATTCTAGGCGTTAAATGATTTAAACGAATAACACATTGATGGATTTCAATGGTAAAATACTCAGATGAATGGATTATTCGGTTTTAATAAAATCTCATCAGGCTAGCTTATGATTTAAGTGCAATTAGGTTAAGACGATTGATATGTCGGTAGATTGGTTGAGACCTTAATATTCCATATAAACAATTCTGTCAAAAAAGAAAATTATTTCTTTAATAATAAAGACTTCAGAGTCGTTTCAAATATCAGTTAATAAGTTAAATTAACACCATTATATTTATTTAAATAAGAGATATATGAATGTGTTTCCTCAGTTAAAAGTGGTGATTTCTCATTTTCGTCCACTTACCTGTTTTGCCTCATCGTTTTTAATCAGGCTGGTAATTTATGTAACTGATAACTCATCTTAATTCATTTTAGTTACATGAACATGCTACTTATTTGGTCGATAGTTTATGGGATTTATGCCCAATGCTTCGTGATTGGGAGGCTATGTTAGATTTGCTTCTTGAAGAACCAGGTAGAGGTGAGGAACCTATGGATGCAAATCAAGAAACAAGTTTGATCGAAATTATGGTTTGTTGTGTTCGTCAAGCAGCAACGGGGGAATCACCAGTAGGACGACAGGTTAGTCACTTCCAAGTATGTTTTGTCTGTTGATTTCATTTTATTTACTACATACTACGAAACATTGTGTGAATAAGTATGAATTCAGTCTAGCAATTTATAAATTATTCATTGTGTACAGACTGGCGGCCATCATTCACATTCCAATACCAACTTATTGACTGGCATGAGTTTACTGGAGACTGGTGGACGCGGTCGGGGTGGTGCAACTACCGGTACAGGGAACAGCGCTGCACCCTCTTCACGTGAAGCTCGTGCCCTGGCCGAAGAACGTAGTCGTATGACAGAAGCAATGATAACTGCTATACCAGCACTCCTTGCTAAGTATGGTGAATCTCCTGAACGAGCTACAAACCTTCTTGCTATTCCGCGACACATGGAAATGGAACTCTACACTACGGGCCGACATGAAAGACATTGGATCTTCTTCTACAAGCTGTTCAGGTACGTTCGGTTCATCTTAATAGCTCATCTCGTTTGTGTTTATTCATTGCAATGCCATCTGCACACTTAAGTTTTAATGCCTTTCTTGGTTTTAATTTCCATATCCACGTGAGTAATTAGCAATAAATATGATGTTTAACGAAAATGTTCCACTGTTGGATTGCACACGTATAATTTTCTCTACTGGCTTAAAAAGAAATCAAATATTTCTCATACTTTTCAGGTTCACTATTACTTGGATCTCGTATCAAGTAGTGAAATTAATTATTCATCAAGTTTGTATACTCGGTTTTAGCGAGACAACTATTCCCGTTGTTCCCTTGTTCAAGCCTATATGAATCGAGACTAAGACCCTCAATCATGATTGAAAGTCGATTGATTTTGCAACCATGCTAAGTTTTTTTCAAGGTTAATTCAATAAAACTAAGTCGTACATCAATATTAGATTTATCAACATCATAGCCACTCCTCTTTCATTTCATGACCTCATACTCTTCACAATCGGCATAAGTCTTTTGAAGCTAATACAATGCTGATTAATTACATTCATCCACTTAAACAGCATTGTAAAAATCAGTGTAAGGCAAGACTTACTTATTCTGTCAGCTACAGGATTTTCGTCATGTATTTATTACACACTACAATTGTTAAGTAATGATCTGTAGTTACCTCACACTGATAAATTTTTAATTAATGTAGTTTCATCACTAGAAATGTAAGCATTCCTGACTATTGTATAATAATTTTGTAACTACATTCACTTACTAGTTTTTTTTGCTAAACGTAACTTAAAAAGTTCAGAGTACTAAGCAATTGTATTTATTAATCCAACAGTGCATTGTTTGGGAATTTTTTTATCTGTTTGGTCAAAAGTACTTATTAGAAAACATTTCTCATTTTCAGGATATTGTAGAACGTCATACTGATCCACACACATTATTGGCTTGTTCACGCGTTTACGAATCGTTGTGTATTGATGAATTAAGCATTTCTGCAAAGTGTCAAACTGTCCGCGGGACGCTGTTGGATCGTTTGGTGGATCTTTATCGGGATGCATTCTTAAACTACTTTAACGATCAGGTTAATTTTCATACAAAAATTCTTATTGTTATGCCGTAAACTTTGGGCTTTTTTGTTGTTATCATGTATTTAGATAAAAAAAGAGACGTTAACAAAGAATGTTCGTATAAGCATAAGTATTCTAAAACCCAGCTTTATTACTGGGCTAGCACTATTGTTACGTTTACTAGCCATTGCACTTGGTTTTGTAATTTCATAGACACTTCTGGCTTTCATGTCGAGTACTTTACAAATATATTTTGTTGTTACAACTTTTATAGACTGTCGACGATGCTTTGACTCGATTTTAGTACATACTCCACTGCTGCTAATATATGTTTGCTCATATTCACTCATTTACATCTTGTTGGATCTTAAATCTTGAATCGATTATAAGTGTAAATTACGAAAAATACACTAAAGCTTCTGATTCTGTATATCTTAATTCTATGTTTAGCACCTTATTAACTGGATTACTTAACATATTTGTGTCCTTTTATTTTTATTTTATCCCCCAAAATAAATGTCACCCATTTATGTTAGTTATATCTTTCCACCTTTTAGGGAGAGGAACCCGATCAGGATGATGAGTTTCACTTACTAGCTGCATTGAAACGAATCTATGCGTTTTACGCGTGAGTCATAAATTTATTATTCCTTTGTAAACATGATTCTGTTATATTGACCAAAAGTGGACAGCTATAAATAAAGTTCTTACTGTCAAATATAGTTAATTTATTGGACCTCAGAAATAACAGTTCACCATTTAAAATCATTGAGATGTTTTTTTATTAATTTTATTTGTTCGCAACGATTAGAGAAAATTAACTTTCCGTTATATTCCAAAGATTGTTGTTGTGACATCAGAAATAACAAAAAACCAATTATCAACCCATAAATACCAATTGCAGATTAGTAATTAACATTTTGTCATCTGTGTAGAGCTACATGAGCATCACAATATATGTGATTTCACTGCGTTTTTTAGTCATGCTATTTAGCCCTTTGAACAACAACTTAAACTTAATTTAGATAAGCTGGTATTTTTATTCATATGGATGGTTTATAAAGTGCCAGTTCTTAATCTAACCTACCTTCTTAACTTGTCTCACATCACAGTTGTGAATCTATTAAGACGGGTTTAGTTAACTGGGTATGATTTCCCAAACAGTGTTCACTAAAATTGTGATCAAGTTAGAGAATTTTACTCTTATGATATCGGTTGAATTTTTAGGGCTTTCAAGTAATACAAGGTCTGTTCAGCAAAATGGTTTTTCCAGGGATTTCGGCAACATATATTTATGAGCGTATAAACTTAATACTTAGTCGTGTATCCATCTTTGAACCACACATTTTCTTGTGCAAGCTAGTGATATCACGATTTCCAGTAAAGTGGAATTCATGTGTCAACTCAACGTTTTATTTAAGCCACTTGCGATTACTGGTTGAGAATCTTTGTAGACAATTGTGACTTCTTTCATTCAGTAATATATGATGTCGGATAATACTGTAAATTATCCTTGACGTTATTTAATTAGATGAATTTTACAAGAAACTTGTTTAGCTGTCCTCGAAATCAACATTTTGTGTCATCTACAGTAATGAGCTTAATTATTCAATCATAATCGTCGTTGTGTAATCATCATAGAATTCTGAAATATCGTACTTACTGCTGTAATATTTCGTAAACAGTTATTTGACCTCAACCTTTCTTGACCTTGAGAAAATTGTCATAACTAAGTGAAATGGTGCAGTCTGTGTGTTATCAATCCTAAAATGCTATAAACACTATGCTTCACACGATATTTGTTTTCAGTGAACTGAGTTCTTGATTGCTGAACATTCGTTTTCGTTTTTTTTTATATTAAAATTAATTTCTTATTTCTTTATACTTCATATTTCATCACACACCATTACCATTACAAAAACTAGTTCAGAATCTCGACATTAATCAACTTCATTGTAAATAGTCTTTTCGTAGTAAACCACAATCTAATATGTAGCACAATTTATCTAAAGTTACGTTTTTCCCTTGAAATGCTGTTATATGAAACAGTAAGAACGTATTGTAAGATTTTAGAAGTCTGAAACGGCTAACCGTTTTTGTGAAATTTACCGGAAAATCTTTGTGGTATTTTCATTCGGAGATACTTTAGTCGTTACCGACAGCTTATATTTATCCGGAAATTTTCATACTGCTTTTATTTTTCGAATAATTTTAGTTGTCACGATCTTTCTGGATTGGATTTATGGGATAGTCTTATCAGGATCGCACAATCCGGAAATGATGCCAACGGTGAAATTGTGGCTCAGGCTGTTAGCTGTTGCTCTAAAGCTCTACTGTGGAATCTTGCTAGAATAGGAGAGGCTGATGTCGACAAAGTAAGTTTGGATTCTTTCTATGTATTTCTCTTGTCCATTTCATTACAGTATTTTAACGTGTTTTTTGACCTGGTATTGTGCAGAATAGTGCCTTAGTTTAACGTTGATCTCCTGTGTTGCTTTTTCGAGGGAGGGGAGATAACTCTGAACTGCAGTTTTTGTTTGAAGAGGCGAATAAAGTTTGAAGTTAACCAACGTCAAACTGATTTATTTCTTGTATTCTATTTCTGTTTAGGAAAGTTGTTTTTCAGAGTGACTTTTCATAACCATTCACTCTTTATACAGTCCCCGCGCGTACAGACTTCCATCTACTATCTTCATTCAAAGCACATATTTGAAGTTATACTTCGTTATCATCTTCCTTGATAATTATATCTATGGGAATTCGTTTGATTTGAAAAACACGCAGCTACCTTTAGATTTATTAGTTTTAAGTTGTGACTCCCCAAGTCAAACTGCTAGTAATTGTCCATCTCTACCTTTGTTATTGATATTTGTGTTGCATTGTTTCTGTTTGCAGACGGATTTGAACAAACTAAGAAGACAGTTAAATCTGTATATGGACGTATGTATTGGCTACCTAGATCATTCATGCAAACGGTTAGCATCAGAATCGTTTCTATCCATTTGTGATTTGCTAGTTGTTTTTTCACGTCATCTTTCCGTTCACTTGCCAAATCTGAAATCTATCATTTATACAGCCGACAGGGATCTAGAACTCAAGTTGACCAATTTTCTGGAGCAACGCGTTTTCGTTGATGATGACGACGTAAGTTTCTAATATTATAACTACGTTTCTGTACCGTTTCTTTCTAAATTCAGATCTCTATAGCATCAATTTATGTATTACTTGTTTTGTAGCTGTAGTTATCTGAAAATTGTATATTAAAATGTGGTATGGTGGAATAATAGTAAAGGCATATGAGTTCCAACCATTGAGTTCCAGGTTCGAACCCCGCTACACCTTCGGTTTTAGCAACTGGGTATTATTATTAGTCCTCACAATTAGAGCGTGGTTCATATCCGAGTAAATGCAAGATGAGTTTATTTAAGTTTTTTTGTTTACTGAAGTACTAAAATATACTATCAAGTTCATCATCCTAATGAGACCGTTTATTTCAATAGTTTATCTTTCTGTAACAATATTCGACTTTCAAAATATATAAATATTCATACTTATTGTTACCAATAAATATTGATAAAATTTAGAGAAGCTTCGCCTGTCAGAACCGTGGTTATAATTTCTCTACCCCACAATGGCTATCTCAGCTATCACCTAACGTCCTAAGACTCAATCAATCGTATAGCAATAGTTTCTAGATGTAACACGAGCCTACAATACAAGAAACAGAAATACAAATAATAATCATTTGTAAAATTTTCCCAAAAGTTCCAATGTCTTTAATATTCACTCCATTGTAACACATCACCTTGGATAATTTATACCGTCATGATATAGAATGAGTTGATTTTATTCATTTGTATTGCATAGATAATTTTAAAACAGGGATGTATGTTTATAGGATATCCCTAATTTAAATGATTCCTACTACTTTTCAATAGTTGAATTTTAATTAAAACATGTAATTGTTTTATTTTTATCATAGGAAGAGGATGATGAAAATGTCAAATTTGAATCGCTTCACGAAAGGCGTACACAGCTAGCTGCATTTTTTAAACTAGTAATATATAATTTGATTCCTATACGAGCAGCTGCTCCGATCTACAAATATTATATTCGGTCTTTCAATGATTTTGGTGATATTATGAAATCTACACTGGCCAAAGCTCGTGAAATCAATCGCGTGCACACCGCTCGTATGATTGCGCATTGTTTAGAATTATGTTATCTACAAGTAGAATCAGCTTCTAATGTAAGTTGACATTTGGACTGCTTACTTTTCCTTTTGTTTCTTCAAACGAGATTCATAAATTTATGTTATTATGCTAGTAGGTGCCATGTTTTGTTCTGATCTAAAGAGTGCGACTGCTCTGCATTTACATGTCCTTAAACAAAAACTACTGGGAAATAGTTTTTGTATCTAACTGCATCATATTTTTGTACTTTTCTTATCTTCTGTTGGGCATAACTACACGTCAGTTTAAGCGACACAGAAACCCTTTTGCTGTATTTCAGCAGATTTTAAGTACATTTATTCAATAACCTAAAATTTGATTCACAGAAAAAGGAAAGGTGAGTAAATAAAAATATGTGCTACATACTTTGACGTCCCAAATAAACTTAAAAATATTCAAATGTTATCTAGGTTTTGGAGAATGAAAATTGAAGGATAATACTATGTTTAGGAAATGCAGAAAGATAAGGAATAGAGTGACTCGGTCCAGTCAGCTACAACGTAGGACCAGGCTCATATGTGCATCGGTCCAAGTTGCCATACCTCATTAGCACAACAAAATGAACACCGAACTCATAGAAGTGGTTAATCCAGTGATGGACTCTGTCATGTTGCAACCATTTTATTTTTCGTCACCCAGAATCTTTAAGCATAAATTGCGATTATCTTATGGGGGCTCTAAACTACACTTCCTTGAATTACTGATTGCTGTCCTTTTTCTGTTTGTTACTAGCCTTTTCCCAGTTTATTCCTACTTAAATACAACACTACAGGGCTAGAAAGGCAATGGATGAACAAACATTACACATCTGAACCGTTCTTACCAATAAAGGTTCACCATTTCTACTAGACGTCTTGACCTATTCGGTCGCCCCACTGTACGCTAAATGTTTTTGAAAAAGGTTTCATAATCAAATGCCCATAACACTTCAACTTTTTTTGAATAAACCGAATAAAGCTTAAGATTGTATCCGGTGCATTGCAGAATTCCTTTAATTCCTGTCATGGAAAGAAATTTGTATGTCATGCATTCCTGTCTGCGTTCAATTTTATAATGAATTGATGGGTTGTTTGTTTTCTCGCTTTCAGAATTGTGTTGAACGTGGTTCTGAAGGTCTTCAAGCTGTAAAGGAACTTGCTAGGCGTCTGAATCTCAGTTTCGGTCTCGATCTAATTAAAATACGAGAATCTATGGTTGCCTTTCACTCCGAAGGGATACAGTTTTGTGTTTCTCGAGCTGCTTCCACAGCTGCTGCAACAGGTCAAACCCCTGGTGTCCCAAGCAATTTACTTTTCCTTGAAGTTGTCGCTGAATTCTCAAACAAGCTTCTCAGACAAGATAAGAAAACCATATATGAATATCTCCGTCGAGTAAGTTGCAAGAGTTGCTTCGTAACTCAGTTATGCCAAGTATTTCTCGTTGCGAAAATGATGATGATGTGTGTTAAACTACGTTTTATCATGATTGATTATTAGAGTACTTGAACACTCAATATTTACATTTAACCACTAATAATGATGTGACTGATCAGAACTGAGAATAATGATCTAGTTTTTAGTTTCATTTGATGGCAATTAACCTACAACACCTGAATCTTATGGTTTATTTTTTTAATATCATGTATATAAGTAGATGTAAGTTTGTAGCTGAAGCTAGATCAGAACACACTTTGCGAACGATTTTTTTCAGTTAATCGGTCGTAAACGGATAGCTGACACAAATACGCATTCTCTAGATACCGTTTCTTTCGTAGCTACAGATGATTATTTCTCTTATTCGTACTCCCTCAACAGAGTAGAAAGTTTGACGTGTAATATTGGTATGTATCCAGTAATTTGAATGTTTTTATCACAGTAAATTGAGCTTTTGACTTGTCTATTATTTCTCTATACTTTTTTTAATTTCCATCTTTTGTGATTAGATTTTCCCAAATCCTGTTGGCAGTGAATGGGCTAGTCTGCATGCCTATCGATCAAGTCTGGATCCTGACAACACTGATAATGCTCCAGGACATGATGGAGTTAGTCATGCTACAAATCCTCAAGCTGTCAGCAGTTCCAATCCTGCTCCAGTACAAGGTAACACGGTGGTACCAACAAGTGGACGTGTAGGATATGGGGGTAGGGGGCGCGGCAAACGACTCCGAGATTCTGACTCCTCTCTTCGTAAGCAATAAATTATTTTATCCTTATGTAGTCAAAGTTTTGCCATCTTCCTATAGTTTTATTATATGTTGAGAAAAGTTTAGTTTTATCAGTTAAGAAAACCTAAAAATCTAGATGCTGAGAATTCGTATTACAGATAACCACTAAATCACTTGCTAAAAGCTTTACTAGTACTGCTTAAGGAAATTTTGTTACGTAGTAACAGGTTTCCAGCACATAAACCCATGTGTGTGCTCGCCATGTAACTTAATTAACACGAAACTTTAAAAATGTGTTTTTCCGATCGTTCTATATGACTATTATGTAGATTTGACAGTTCAATCAATACTGATCAAATGATTGTGAATCAGTTAACGGGATTGAACAATGATGCATTTAGATGATTTAGTTATAAATGTTTAAGAATATATATCTTAAATTAAAACAAGTGAACATATGACGTAATAAGTTAAAGAGTCAGAAATTTGTGTTAAGTAATCAAATCAATTTACGGATTACATAGATTGTAATTGTAAAGAATAAGATAAGTTGTCTAGTCTTTGAAAATACTTAATAAGATGAATAGAATAGCTGATAAATGTTTTGATGAACATTAATCATGTAAGTAGAGATCTAAATAATGGAAAACATATTTGAACTATGTCCAGTGTAATTTCAGTGGTCATTTTATAGAAGAAATAGACATTTTATGAATGCGTAACCCCTAGTTTTCTCATTTGTTTTTTGTTGTGCACAAAAAGATGGGATCATGGAAGTTCTGTCCTCTTCTGCCAATATCTCTTTAACTAATGTACTTCACTCGACTCAGTTGACCATTAAAATAATTTAGATTCGACAAGTAGATTAAGACGACTTCCGAAATAAATATGCGGAGCCGTTGGTTTAGTCACTAAAATACAGTATTCAAATATCAAGTTCTACATTACAATCTTACTTCACTTGGTTCATTTTTAATCTCCACTTTTTATTACTATCCGTTGCACAAAATAATAATAAGTCGAAACTAATTATACAAACTTATGTTTGATATCAAGATATATCAAGTTACATAGTAATCTTTAAGGATTTATGGATAATTTAGCAGCTGTGATTGGATGGATGAAAGGAATATGCAGATCGTTTGCTCACTTAACAAATCTGATTTATCATCTTCCAGTCCTCATAGCGTTGGGGTTGGTAAGTTAGATGGAATTCTTCGCATCGATATATTACCACGTGTTTATTAAATGTTTTTTTAATCGTCCTGTCTCTTTCGATGAACCAAATGAAGTGATTAGAAACCCTAATACCATACAGTGCCTGAATAGGCATCCAGTAAAACTAATTCTGCCAAAGCTGATAAAGTGAGGTGACAAATTCCGACTGCATTGGTTAGGAAACAAGAATCATAACTCTATTGTATTGGGCTTTTTCTAGACGTAATGGCACCAGTTTTTTTGTCTCAAAAATTTGAACGATGTGTTGTTCTCAAATGGCCTACATAGCTATGTTTATGGATCAGGAACGTGTAACCGGACTTTTCCTGCTTCAGTTAATAATCAAATGTCGGATTATACTTTCGGATATCGTTTCCAAATTTTATCTGTGTATCGCACTTTTACTTTCACTGTTTGTCAATTGTCCTTGTATACCATGTTTATCTTTTCTAATCGTTATTTTATAATATATAGCCGACGCAAATTTAAATCCACAGTCCACAAGTACAGCTATCAAAAAAAAGCGCACCAATATCGCGAGTAGTAGCAAAAATGCATCTGGAAATGTTTCTAGTATGACTGCAGCTGACCCTTCCCGACCTACATCACCTTCAGAAATACCCCCCAACAGTGCAGGATGTGCACCCCAGTAAGTTGACTGCTTATATTATGTCGAGAGACTTTTTTGTATGTAGTACAGTAATTTCTGTAACTGATCATCTTCCAAATCAGTCTTAATAAATCACCCAAATGTTTTTAATTTTTGCAGCCATAATCCTTCGACATCGATGACAACTTTAGCTACTCCCGTTCATCCGTCTAACCAATAAATCCATCCCTATAAATTATTCAGAAGAAATGAATTCTATGGCCGACGCGTCTGTGTGTTTCACCGCTTCGAAATTATGCAATTATCTAGAAGTGTTTCGTTCAGCGAATATCTTCAGATGTTTATATCTGTAAATATAGACAACTGATGCTTTATATAATTATCTTCACACAGATTAATCCCAACTGGCTGTATTATTCAAATCCCTTTCCAGAAAATGTACATTCTTTTTAGGTTATCGACTTGATTATCACAATTGTTCACGAACTTAGTTTTTTTTCTATTTGTCTCTCCCTCCTATACTAAAGCAAATTGTTTTTGTATCATGCGTTTTTTTTAAAGCCCTCATTTTTACTTGATATCTAATTCTCCCCGAAGTTATTGTATTTTCAAATTTTGTTTGTATACAGTGGTCAGCCATTATCAGGCTGGGAGAATGCTGTGTAGCTCATTTAAACAATGTTGTTCAAAATTGTGCAGAGCAGAACTATTTTTACACAGAGAACTTGCTAATATTATTATGTAAATTGCCTTTTTGTAAAACTAATCACCTTTATTAAATAGTACCGCACTATGTAGTTTTTTTCAACTATTTGTCCTCTTTCTTTTTTCGTATTAATTTTTTTCATGCTAACAACTTTTCAATTAAATTTTCCCAACAATATTTACTCAAGTTCAATAAAAACATAAAACACTTGTTTGTACACCATTATGATGCGTTTGACATTTGATTTCAATAATTGTGTTACCTGATTACTTGTTTTCATTCAGATTTCCTATAAAATCCACTTGTACAATATTCATTTTGTTCATATTATTATTATTCTTTATTGAGATTTAGGTAGCTTCAAAAATTTTGTTTTCAGTTTTGTTAAACTATACGTCCATCTGGTTACAAAAACTTTGTACAGAACTTCTTATTTGCAAGACGTTCATTATTAATTTATTTGATTGTTTTCTATCATTACTAAGTGCCTCCTAATTTATTGTCTTACTGTTCCAGTACTCTTAATCGTTTTCCTAAAAACTCACCGTCATCACAGTTCAGTGTGCTAAAGACTGCCTTAGTTGTTTCTTATGTTCAACTGGATGAGTTTGTTTCTTCACTCTGTAGCAGTAACACTGCATTTGTTGCGTATTTTGACACTACAGCCTATTCAGTGGTTAAACTAACTGTAAATTGCATAAGCCAGATTCGCGAATACTTAAATATTGTGAGATATATGCTACAGAGTTTTAGTTCTTTTGGTGACCAAAAGATCATTCTTGATGTTGATTATTATGACAACTTGAACCAATGTAGTGAATTCAATGACTTATCTCCAATGTATCAACCTAATCGCTAAATATATGTTAACATAATAAATCTAGTAATCCATACTAAGTCTGAACAGTTAGGATGAATCGACTCTGGTTTCACCATGCTGAAAGCGCTTAATTGCCTACGGTTAACAAGCATGATTAATTGATCAACAAATTTAAAACAAGAAAAATTTGACATACATTTTGAAATAAGGTAGTCCATAAGTTCCTGCGGTGCGCTAATGATGTGGTTTTATACGGGTGAAAATTACAAATAGACCGATGCCATTCACCAAGGAAAGCAGTCCGCTCGTGTCAATAACAGTACAAAACGAAATGATTTACTCTTAATATTCAGTAGCGGATACATACGTTACCATCTTCACTCATGCTTTCAATTCGTGATTCATGTGCTTGGTCCCGACTAGATCACACGTGACGACAAGATGAATTGTGACATTGTTTGGAATGAACCTACTCCAAGTGAAATACTGAATTTTACTTACAACCAATATACCTAGTGATACGCAGTCTGCAGTAGTCACAAAAGACGTTTTCGTAGAAGTAACATTTCACGCATTGTTTTAACTTGTTCAACATGGAAATTGGATAGTGTATTTACAATTCATTCAATACAAAAAAGCTAAATTACATTGTGAAGAAATATTAGATGACGTTGAAAGCAAATGTTCAGATCTTATCATCTGTCTGGCTAAATATGTGCGTGAATTGCGAAATGCACATGTTGATTCCAAAATTACACTCGATATGGACATAGTATACCAAAGATGATGGTGAGTAGTATCACTTCTACTATGAAGTATTACAATTCTGGGGCACATCTTTACTCTGAATACCAGCACCAGGACGGTCCACTCTGTGAACAGGTTTCGACAATTCCACGGGAGTTTCTTTAAGAGGATTTGTACAATATATAGCCTTGTTACTATTTAATTTCTGAGGGTCTCTGTTCTCAACATCAAGCTTGTCACTTTCTACGTAAAAGAGTAATGAAAGGATAATGAGTGAATAAAATCGAATTATTTGAAAAGACTATATTACATTTACACCACATTAGATATCTTGTCCAACAGATACCCGAACTATGCTATTAAATCTTTTGGTGAATTTAAGGAAGTTTCTGTGCAAATGTTTCTAACAGAAAGGGATACAATAAGGCAACTAGGCAAATCGGCTGACTATGTTCATGGGTATGTTGAACAATGGAAACAGGTAGGACAAGCGTATAAACTTTTAGTAAATTTACTTGAATGAATTGTGTATTCACATATTTTCCTATGTATCTTTCCATAATTTTCTAACAAAACATTTCGTTATTGACAGTAGGAATACGATGAACAAGAGACCATACTCAACGACATGATTATTAGCCTGGGAAATATTTGGGGATCGTAGGTTACTTAAACGAACTTTATACAAAGCCTTAAATTTCATAGTTCAAGACAACATCATTGGGTATTATTGATCTTGACTGAAAGTTTGAAAAGTTCAGAATGATGATATGCCGATTTTATTTGGAAACAATTATTAATCACACAAAAATAATATCATTAACAGCTATATAGAGTAGGACATAAATCTGTTCGATTATTGAGTTTCAATTTCGTTTAAATGGTTAACAATTGTTCCACTACTTTTATTAAACGTTAATGCTGGAATTATCTATTAGATGAAAATTTCTTTAAGAGGTTTATCATTAATCTTTATAAAAGTTCTACTAAAAAGAAAACACTAATTAGGTAAACTTTACCTAATGTTTTTTGTGATCTCAATAGATGTCATTCTTAAAGAGTTCAATAGTGTATTTATCAAGAAAATTGTAACATGTTTCAGAACAATAATTTATAACACTTAAACTGTATTCTACTAACGAGAAATTATGAAATGTAACAGAATGAATAAAGAGAGGACTATTTTTTACGTATGACATTACCAGCAGAACTAGTTAGTTAGTCAACATATTGATTTGTCAATTATATAATTATAATATTCTAAATTTAGTCTCTTTCTTCTGGTGGTCGACTGGATTATGCAGACCTCGACATCTGAGAGAAAACACGGAATACAATAGACAGCTCAGAATCAATTAGACGATTTGGACTTCGCAGATGACCTAGCCCTCCTATCGCATACACACGAACAAATGCAGATGAAAACAACTCGTGTAGTAGTAGCAGCATCAGTAAGCCTCAACATACACAAGGGGAAAACCAAAGTCCTCAAATTCAAAACGGAGAACAGCAATCCAATCACTCTTGATGTAGAATCCTTCACACACCTGAGAAGCATCATCGATGATCAAGGAGGATCAGATGCACACGTAAAGGTTAGGATTGGTAAAACAAGGGCTGCATTTCTACAATTGAAGAACATATGGAACTCAAAACAACTGTCTGTCAACCAATATCAAAGTCACAATTTTCAATACGAACGTGAACACAGTCAATTCTACTGTACGGAGCTGAAACTTGGAGAACTACTACAACCATCATCAAGAAGGTACAAGTATTTATAAATAGTTGTCTACGCAAGATACTCAACATCGATTGACCGGATACCATCAGCAATAGCCTTCTGTGGGAGAGAAAAACTAGCTTCCAGTTGAAGAGGAAATTAGGAAAAGACGATGGAAATGGATAGGACATACATTACGCAAATCATCAAACTGCATCACGAGGCAAGCCCTAACTTGGAATCGTGAAGGGAAACGGAAAAGTGGAAGACCAAAGAACACATTACGTCGAGAAACAGAATTAGATATGAAAAGGATGAATAAGAACTGGAAAGAGCTGGGAAGGATTGCCGAGGATAGGGTTGGATGGAGAATGCTGGTGAGCGGCCTATGTTGCTTCACGAGGAGTAACAGGCGTAAGTAAATTTAGTCTTTAAACACAAATGAGTATATGTATATTTATAACAGTCATACTTTAAAATATTTTATCATATTAATTCTTTTTCACTATAGAACAAAACAATATAGAATAGAAGAGAATCAGTAAAAAACAGATCTATAATTTAAATAATGAACTTTTTTTTAATTGACACAAATGAAGTGAAAAATTAATAAATTGAATAATGATTAAGAAGAAAAGATGAGAAATGATTTTATTCAGGAAACATTTCATATATATATATATATATATATATATATTCTATTATACTAATAAATATCTGTAATTAAATGAATTGATCTGATTGTAACTGCGACACTAACATTGTTGTCAGGTTTACATATTGTAATGATTCAATCAAGTTATATTGAATAGAACAATTGTTGTTGTGTTTTTTTTAAGTTCTATCATACTAAACAGATCATTCGAGAAACGATAGTCAGTCAGTCAGTAACAACGTAGAACTTCGTACGTACGTACATCAGTGGATGCATCTGCGCCATTGCAAACGATTTTGAGCCATGTCATTCAGGGTCTCTAACCATCGGTCGCTATCATCTCGCGGTTCCCAACCAGGTAGTCGACACCTAACTACATGGCTCAGTCCACTTCATGGACTTGTGCCATGTTTTGGTCTGGCCGCCCCTAGCTTTCTTCCAACCAACTCCTACACCATTAGACATCGCACGTCGAGGCAGTCGGTGGTTGGGCATACGTAAAACGTGTCCCAGCCATCTCAACTGATGAGTTTTCACTACTTTATCAATTGACTTGCCATCCTTACCTA